AATAATAATATAGTAATTGAATTCTTTTCCAAGAAGGGAGAAGAAAGAAACAGTAAAAAAGAGAAGGCTAAACAATAAACTATTCTAATCTTCAAAATGAGTAATGCTAGGAACACTCGCCATTTGCACTCTCCAACCAACACTTCCATTTTCATTGGGCCACGTTATGTTGGTTTACGGAGAGTAGATCAATTCATGGCAAAAGGTGAGCTTACGTGGCCCAATAAAAAAGCATGTGTTATTCGAAGAGTGCACGAGGCGAGTGCCCCTAGCACTGCTCCATTAAAATGGTGTTTTTTTTTTCTTTTTTTGATAAATCATCAAAATTGTTGGGACGTCAACTGGTCAACTGGTCAACTGTACGCTTTCCTCACTCCCACCTTGAATCTTCTCTCTGGGTAACATCTTCTCTGTTCCCTGTACATATCTTTTAAATCTTCACAATTCACGGGCTTGCTCTATCCCATGAGTCCGGAGGAGGATGAGCAGAAAGAGAAAGGTGAAACTGAAGGAGTAGGAGCTGAATTGCGTGTCAGAGTGGTAGATGGTTGTAGATGGCCTCCCGTGCTTAAGCCGCCTCCACCAATGAGGCTGCCAGTGATCGATGGAACATGCTCGACGTGGGACCTCCTTAGAGATTTTGCACCTCAGGATAATCGATCGGTTCCTATAAGTTCTGATGATGAGGAAGATGAAGGAGGATGTGAAACAGAGGAAGCGGTTGTCGAAGAAATTTGCTTGAAGGCAGTGGAAGAGGAGACTGCAGTGTCATCTGAAACCTGTTCCTTTTATACTGCAAATGATGATGATTTTTCCGGAACCAGAACCGAGCCTATGTCTCCCAATGGCAGGTTCAAAATGAATATTACTTGTTGGGAGAAAGGTCAGCTCCTGGGCAGTGGGTCCTTTGGATCTGTGTATGAAGGGATTACCCAGTAAGTACTAATATGCTGCCAGTTCAAAATGACTATTACTGCTATACCAAACAGCCCATAATTTGGGATGATATGTGGAACACTTTTTTTGTTAGTAATTAACGCATTTTTCTTCAGTGATGGATTGTTTTTTGCCTTAAAAGAAGTTTCGTTGCTTGATCAAGGAAGTGAGAGTATTTTCCAACTTGAGCAGGTGAGTAGTTGTTTGTTACGTTCTTTGACAATTTTCTATTTCTGATATATTTGTAAATATACAATTTTTTGTGCTGATTTATTGTTTTTTAAATTTTCTTTCCAGGAGATTGGTCTATTAAGTCAGTTTGAACATGAAAACATTGTCCAGTATTATGGCACTGACAAGGTACGCATCTCCTGCTTTTCGATTTGGTAAAATTGGATTCAATATGAAAATATGACCCAATCCACTTGTTATGGATAGGGTCATGGGTCTAAAATATCAATCTAGAATCTGATATAACCCAGATTGAGATTTTCTAAATTCAACTTGAATAGGTTAGGGTTGGGTTGGATTGGCTCAACTAACTAAAATTAATTAAAATTTTTAAATTTAAAATATTGATTAATTATACTTCTAATTTTAAGTTTTAAATCAAAATAATCAATACCGTACTAGTATACATCCTGGTTTTGTTATTGAAATAGTACATATCAGATATAAGAATTTTTCGCATATTATTTTGAATTTATTGCTATATATATTTTATGAATTAAGTATCAAATTTTAAAATAATGATAAGAAAAACTAATGCTTAAAATCATCATATTCTTATAAATTGAAAACAAATTTAAAATGGCCAACTCTATAAAACATCCATAGTTTTTTTTTTTTTGAATATTAAAATAATATTATGAAGCATAATAGTGTTTTGAATTTAATGTTATACAATTCGCAATACAAAATACTTCTACAAGGGAAAGAACCATGTCTTTTAAGTACAACAAGAATGCAAAAAACAAGTCAAAACATTGTTGAGAAGAGAGAGTAACAACCAGTAAGTATTGAGAATTAGAAGTCTGAATCTCAAATTGTCGAATTAGTCCCTTAACTTCTAATATATGTGTATTTTTCGTTTCTCCACTTTAAGTTAAGGGATTAAAAATGTGCATATTTTCACAAACTTAACGGAGTAATTAACAAAATGACTAAAAAAATGTATTTTTCATAGCTGAAAACTAAAAAAGTTAAATAATGAAAATTATGCAAAATATTAAAGTTAAGGACCAAAAATAGCATTTAACCTTTTTTAAATTTGAATTGATTTGTACCATATTGGTCGATATGCAAAATACTTATCGGTACACCAAAATTTAACAAAAATGGTTGAAATTTGACAAAGATGAGTTTGAATCTTGTATCATTTCGGATTAATAAAAAAGCTGATACTTACCGACCATACCAGCCAGGACGAAACAATATCAACTTCTTTGTTTTAAATATAAGATAAAATTAAATACTGCAAAGTAGTTATTATTTATTAAATTGTTAGTGTTAATATTAATGTGGGAAAGGTTAATGCTGTTTATTCCATTTGAAACTCCTGTGAAATGAGCTGTAAAGAATTGTCAACAAGGTACCTAGTACATAAGGCCTTCTGCTCTATTGATAGTTCATGTGTTACCAAGTCATTGATCTTATGTTTACGTTAGAACTTTTTATCCCAAACTTATTAGAATTTCTCATAGGATACAAGATCATAAAAATTAGACTGCCAATACTTTGCTAACTTCAATTCAGTTTTATGAATCTATATACTAACTCTTTTTTTTCTTCATTTTATGGTCTTTCTAGGATGAATCAAAATTATATATCTTCCTTGAGCTAGTGACACGAGGCTCCCTATTAAGTCTCTATCAAAGGTATAATCTTAAAGATTCTCAAGTCTCTTTCTATACAAGACAGATTCTGCACGGACTGAAGTATCTTCATGACAGGGATGTGGTTCACAGGTAAAATGTCTGCGTATTAAATATGAAATTCATATTACTTTCTAGTAATTGAATATCAATTGCATAGTATGATAAAAGCAAAAAATTGCAGAAATGTATGAAGCTTTCATTTCCTGACAAAACGTTTTGGTTTCTTTTTCTTTTTTGGTGATTTAAAGGAGGAACAATATGCGTTGGTCATAGTCTCTATACTATTAACATTTGTTCCATTTTGTATTGAACTGGTATTTGTTGCATTCAGTGGATTAATGGGTACTATACTATTACGTGAGTTCGTCTAAGCTCAATTTTGTTCTTTTCTTGTATCAAAAGGGATATTAAATGTGCAAATATATTGGTGGATGCATGTGGATCTGTGAAACTTGCAGATTTTGGATTGGCAAAGGTTTTGTTCCATTCA